TGTTGCCAAGGCAACGGCCCAGGGAGCATGCAATCATGCAATGCAATCCGCATTCCCATTTTGCATCTGCAGATGCCCGAAGTTCCTCTGCACTATGCAGAAATGCATTGTGCCATAAGTGGTTCCAGGTTATTTGGTGCCCGAAAAACACTCCTTCGCGAACCAGCACAGCAAAGCCGTGAGGTACTGCTGTAGCGCCACTTTGGGTGCCCGGTTGCTTGACAAAAACAAATATGCCCGTCTCCGTTCCTTTTTCCCATTTTTTTAAAACATCATTTCTTCATCTGTTAAAATTAAGAATCAAATTTCAACATTAAAATCACTCAAAACAATTCATATAATCATCAAATATCATAATGAACTCATTCACCCTTTCCATTTAAAACACCACTTCATTTTGCATATTAAAGAGAATTACCACATGAATTGCTATCTAAAAATGCCATATTTGTATCAGCTAGAATATCACTCATCTTACCTGTTAAACACACAAATCGGAAGCCTAAATGCACGAGGAAACTTTGGAAAATTTGAAAATTTGACTCTGCAACTCACGGGAACTGTGTTTGCAGAACTGGGTAAGGATTTCGAATTAGATTTCGGATTAGGAGTTGTTTTACTTTTGGGAATTGATTCATAATGTCTTTAACACTTAATTCTAACTGTAGGTTGTTCGTATTTGAAAGGAAATAAAAAACAAAACGAAAAATTTTAGGAAAATCGAGAGCTTACCTGTTCAAGTAGATGGAGAGCTTCCGGTTGAAGCTTTGTTACAGTGTTCTAAGCCTGAGGAGTTGTGAAACATATATTGGATGCTAAAACATGGAAGAATGATGAACTAAAAAATGAAAGGAAGCTTACCTAGACCAAAAGGAAGAAGAATCCTTCCTTCTGCACTCATGGCACCTCACTACAGACACAGGCTTTTCCTACTCTGCACTCTCGCTCTGTTTTGCTGTGTTTTTGTTTTTGAATGAAGTGGAGAAGAAGAAACAGAGAAGGAGCCAGTTTTGAAGGAGAAGGAAACAAAGAAGAACCTAATTGTATGAGGAATTGATGGCCAGATCTTGGCCGTTTATTATCAGGCAAACACTTATGGCCATTGATGCCATGAGTGGCTGACAGTCCAAGGAAAAGGGCTGACCGGAGTTTGCCATCTGCCCAGCTAGCTGGGTTCCCTCCGCCAGGTGGCCCAAAGCGCCTCTTTTTAAAGCCTGGGTGAGTGGGTGGTGTTTGGTCTATATTTATTCATATATATATATATATATATATATACATATACATATATATCCACATACAAAGTTTAATTCAGTTTATATTCATTATTATTTATTTATTTATCATATTTTTTCTTAAATTAAATTAAGGTAAAAAATAATTAAGGAACTAGAAATATAAAATTCTTACAAAATACAATTATTGAAAATACCTCATTCATTAAAATTTTACATAAATTTTTACAACTGATGATTACATATTAGCTGTAAATATTTTCTTTTCTTGGAAGATATTCTATGTGTAGTTTTGGTAGGTTTAATGGTTTACCTTATTTAGGAGTTTTGGTGTATTTTTTCTCTGTATATATTTCCAACTATGGGAATAAAAGAGCTAAAAAATTTTGGCCCCAAATTACTTTAGATTTTTTCATGGTATCAGAATCAATGTGAGCTAAATGTAAATCATCGTGGCTAGTGATGGGAAAAAAGGAGATGAAGGAGGCATTGATTCTTACAAGAAAATGCCAACCTCCTATACTTGACTTCGAATGACAATCAAGGTAAAAATATTACCCAAGTTAAGTTGAAATGTGAGAATTATGGTGAATGGGTACGTGCTATATGTACTTAACGCGTGACCTTCTTGGATCAAAATATCTTAATTATGAACTCCCATAAACACTACCATACAGAAACTTAATTCCCTAATTAAACTTTTCCTACTTGAATTGCATTCAACAATTTGAATGCAAACCAAAATAATTGAGAATTAAAATAAGGAATAAAAAAGATGTCACAACTTATCCGATAAGTCGATTCAGATTTTCTATGTCAAGATGGTTGAGGCAACCTATCTTGAAGAACACTCACTCTCACAAATTAGCAAAACTAATTGTAAAGAATCAGACTGAAATTTTTATTAACTAAATTGAACTTGTTGAATTGTTGTAACAGCCTAAGGTGAGACCTTCATATAGGTTTTCACTTGTATATTTCTAAACAAAATGAAAGACTTGAATTCTATCTAAAGCCTAGTCTACCTTAATCTTAATCTTAAAATAAAATAAAATAATAACATATTAATCTAGATATGTTTTTCTTCCCTGGCCGATTATGGATAACTCATCGCTTGAATTATCTAACATGTTAAATGCTTTGTTTAGCTGTAAAAAGGAATATAAACATGTGATAAACAAAGATCCCTCGACTACACTTCTTCCCATACGGGTGGAAGCTTCCTCACAGGTGATTAAGGCCTTTAACATGGGAGAGAGTCTCGCAGTTGCGGCTATCCCTCTCGCACATGTGATGGCCCACACATGTGAACAAGGGTGTTCACATGCGTGCCATGTGCTATCCTCATCCTCCCATGGCTGTTTGGGTCAAGTGCACACTCTCTTTAGGCCTGCACGAGGCCTAATTTAATGCCAAACACTTTCTCAGGCCCGTAAGCTACTTTATACCTTTTAATCACGTGGCCTTAAGTTCCTTTCAGCCATTTTTTGAGCTTGAAATCTCATTGCCTTTGGGCTGAGCTGGTGAGCCTCTTTTTTTTTTATGAGAAACCAAGTCCATCATGGAGTGGGAATTACGAGAATCTTGCTTGGAGAAGGAATCCCCTTTCTCGTAGCAACTTCCCTTTCTTGCTTGTCCTATGCACACGTTTTTGTGCTGCTGTGTTGGGCACGCGTGGATGCACTTGCATGTTGGTCCATACGTGCAGGGCTTCCTAGTTATGTGCGTGCACATTGTGTACGTGGTTCTCCCTTCCTTGTGCTTTGTTGCATGCAAACAACTTCCCCGTGGGCTGCCACTTACTCGTGGGTTCTTTGCACTTTGTGGAATTCTCCCAATTTATGGTATTGCTCCTTCTCGCACGGGGACTTCATCTCTCGGGACTCTACTTGGACTTCTAGGATTGCTTCTGGCTTGGCTAGGATCACATCATCTTCCCCTTTTTCAAAAAGATTCATCCTTAAATCTTGCCTTTCTTGAATAGAGATTGTCTTCCAGAATCCTACAAGATATCATCATTGGAAACAAAAAAAATTAGTAACTAAACACAACTCCTCCTGGCTATCGGTTTCCTCTCCTTCTTTTGAACTTTTCATGATAAGGTATTCGATCTTTGTGGGAGCTCTTGACTAGAAGGGCTTTCCAACTCAACATTGCATGACCAGGACATCTCTTCCTGATGTGATCCCAGATGGCCCAAGTTTAGTTTCGGGGATGCAATCTCGCATCAAGGAAGAATCCCATAGAAATCAGGATTCCTGCATGTTCCGATCTAAACGAGCCAACAGTTATAGATTTTTTGTGTTCCTTAAATGGGATCATCTAGAAGTGGAAAGTATCTACATCTCTAACCACTTTCCTATTTAAGATTATTCTAAAGAATAAGTTAAGTTTATTCAAAGAAGACTTAAGGCCCAATAGACACTTCATGGACTTGAAGGATCACAAGGCAAGTAGAAAGACCAACTTTTGGCCAAACCCAAGAAGGTATCAAGGACTCTCGCCCAAAAGAGGCCGACAACCAAGGATGGGTCGTGTTATTGGGCAACATGCACACATTCGGGGCAGCCACATGTGTGGGAAAGAACATCTACACCCACAAGAACCTTTCTTGTATGAAAAAGCAAGTTGTACACGTAGGAGTCCCTTGCTCGCACGCAGGAAAACATGTTTATGCAGAAGAAATAGGACACACACAAGAAGCTGTGCACATGGGAGCAATGCATGCAAACAAGGTTGTGCGCATGGGAAGCCACACACGCAGATACCCTTACACATGCAGTAATACATGGTCGTGCAGGTGGGGCATATGGATGGGAGTTTAATGTCGAGAAGGATTCCACATTTGCCAACTTTTCCATGTGTTTTTTATGACTAATTTTCCAAGAAGGACTCTACTAAAAATTGAGGTCTATATGAAGAATTAAAGCATATGAAAAATATGGTAAAACGAAGGAGAATTATCTATTAAATATTATATTAATATTTAATTAATATTTTATTGTTAATTCCTATTCGTAGGATTATGTATTATTATTATTATTTTAGAATTTAGATTAGGATAGATTATTTTAATTAATATTTTGTGTTGTTTTATAGTCTAATAAAGTTTAAGAATTCAAGTAGGAATATGTAATCCTACTTCTAGTAGTATTAGAAAATTGAAGTCTAGAAAAAGGCTTCACCGTTACGCTTGTATTTAAAACTTACAATTTTTCGATTAATAAAATTTGAAGCTTTGTGCTTCTAAGTTAGCTTTGCTTCTAAGTTAGCTTTGCTAGTTTTGAGAGTGTTTTTCAAGCATTTTCAAGTTAAGAAGCTTCAGACCGCTTTTCTGAGCCAAGGATTCAAAATTGACTTATTAGATAAGCCATGACGTCTTTTCTATTCCTTTTATTTTTTTCCAATTACCTTGATTTGCAATCAAATTTATTAATTGTGGTTCAAGTATGGAGAGTAAATTAGGTGGTTAATCTTTATGATTATTACATTGTGTGAGGTTCCAGGAGTCAAAGCGATTCTTCCCTATCACTCCTACATTATTTGGTATCAAAGTATAGGCTCCTAATAAACCTACTATCTTCAACTGCTTTAGCATCTTTGAGTTGCATAAATTAATAATTCAAAAATTTTGATTGCTAGTTCGTTATTGCATATCACTTAAATTCATCCTATCCGCTCAATTCAAGTGATCACTTGTTTGTTCAATTAGTTAAAAAAAAATTAGAAAATACAAAAATATATCGATTGCACAGCATAAGGCAATCTGACATTCTATTGTTGCATTAAACTAAAACAAATGAAGAATAATCGCCTACCAGTGTGATAAAAACCTTTAAAGTGTTAAAGAAAGAATACCTCACCTACCCGGTGCACACGAAAACCTTTGTTTCATTCTGTTGCATAAAGCAAAAGAAGACTACCTCACCATTATGAGCGAAAATCGTTTGCTTTATATTTAATTTTTAATATTACAACTGCATTGTTTCAAGCATCACAATTCTTCATCTATGAGCTTAAATTTTTAGTTTTAGAGTCAGTATTCCTTTAGGAATCTTTGCCAGTGTCTTTGAGGCTAACATGTAGGTCTTGATTAAGGATATTCAATTCCAAATGCTTAACTTAATGAAAGAAACATACGTGTTAAGGGATTGTGAGATAAGCACGAGTGAAGGTGAGATAGAGATTTTCCTGATTGACCTTTACCTTGTAGGAAATTCATTACGTTTCAGCAAATTAATTGTCATTTCTTTGTTGTCCGAAAGGTCCTAAACATGAAAGCCCAAGGAGAGGACAACGAACAAAGGGAGAACATCTTCCACACACAATTTCTTATCAATGGCAAGGTATGTGGAACAATCATTGATAGTGGTAATTGTGCTAATGTGGCAAGCACTCTATTTGTAGAAAGGTCGGGGTTAACATACACCAAACATCCTAATCCTATCGATTATGTTGGTTAAACAAGTGTGGAGAAGTTGAAGTTACCAAACAAGTCATGGTACCGTTCTTCATCGAAAATTACAACGACTAGATATATTATGATATTGTACTTATGCATGCCAATCATCTGATACTTGGGAGATCTTGATAGTTTGATAAGCAAGTACAACATAACTGCCCTACCAACTATTATTCATTACGAAAGGATAATCTAAACCATGTCCTCATACCCCTATCACCAAAAGATGCACATAAAGATCAAATCAAAATTAAGAGGTCATTTGATGAATATTCAAAAAGGAAAAAAATGAGAGAGAAGAGGATGAAAGGAAAAATAATGACCCATTGAGGCTAAAAAAGACTAAGAAAAATTAAAATAGCCCAGTGAGGGAAAAAAAAGCCAAAAACAAAAATAAATATGGTCCATTGAGT